AGCAGTCTAGGTTCACACGACAATCAATACGCGGCGCGAACGGGTAGCAGTCTAGGTTCACACGACAATCAATACGCGGCCAGCGTGGTGCCGAATATACCCGGCTTAGTTGGCGCGGAATATGATTCCGCGCTAAGCAAGCCGGAGCATTCGCGGCTAAGCAAGCCGTGGCCAAGCAAGCCGCGTATATTTTAGCGTGTGAACGCAACTTTCTCCTCGTGTGAACGCAGCTACTGTCTACACTCTACAGTCTACAGTCAGGTGCTGTTGAGGGTATATAATTTAAATTGTTACATTGTTACCCCCTCCCAATTTTCTCAACGAATTTAGACGTTTCACAAAATCGACCCCTGGGACTATCAAATCCGCGGAAGAATCTCATCCCTGGATTTAGTTTGGGCTCACACCCGAGTCCCTACCAGAATGTTCTTCCTCAGAGTTGTCTGCCAGCTTTGCGTGCTCCGTCTCTGCAGTCTTTGTTGGCTGTGAGATGGGTGTCTGCTGCTGCTGCTGCTGTTGCTGCTGCTGCTGCTGCTGGTAGACCTGCTGCATGTACTGCTGGTAATGCTCGTCTTGCAGCTGCCGAATGAGCTGCCGTTGCTGTGGATGCAAAGCTTGTAAGTATAATATGTGTAATGCTGTTGCTGTAGATACAGACACGCACGTGAGGTTGTAAGTATAGCATATATGCTTATTGCTGTTGCAATTTCTCTCCCACTCTCTCACTTTCGCGCTCTCTCTCTCTCGCACACATGCATACACGCACACACGCACGCACGCACGCACGCACGCACGCACGCACGCACGCACGCACACACACACATAAACACACTAACACAAATCTCACACCCTTACTGTTCACAGTAATTCAAGCTACTACGTACGTATATGGTTACTAACCTGTTCTATATTACCAGGACACTGCTGTTCTGCATATGACTGAAATTGTGCTTGCGTCTGTTTGTTCAAAGCTTCGACTACTTTCTGTCTGGAAAACGAAATGCCAGCAGCGCACGTGAATAAAACATACGAACATAATCAAACCTCGTGAATTTATAAAATCGTCGACATACACGGCTATTTTAACATCAGCACAGGAAAAATTCCCGTGAGCTTCCCCGTGAGCCTCCCCGTGAGCTTCCCCGTGAGCTTCCCCGTGAGCTTCCCCCCCGTGAGCTTCCCCGTGAGCTTCCCCATTCCTCAAACAATAAGCTCAGGGTGCGAAATTAACGCGAGCCCGGAGTCAAAAACTCCCCGATTTACTGTCGGACTCCTAAATTTGACATCTGCAGGAGTCCGTGAGACTCCCTGAAAATTCTGCTATACTGACAAGTTTGTTCCAGAGCACGGCCTCGCATAATTACCGTATTTTCCCAGCAAATGTCCAACGAAAATTTGACAGACGTGCAACCGCATGAATCTTCAAAATAAGCACATGCGTTATTGTTTTAATATCTTTAGTTTTGAACTTGGTTCGTTTTGCCGCGGACTCCCTCTTTTTGAGGGCAGGGAGTCTGTTGGACTCCCTTGTTCACAAGTTAATTTCTACCTCTGTAAGCTCATGTAATGCACCTGAGCTACACTTACAACAAACGCGATCTTACTTCTGTAATTCTTTTTGATGCAGTTCTTCGCTGAGCTTTAACCTGGCTTCCTCCTCTAGACGTAGCTGCTCTCGTTCCTCCTCTTCCGCTATCCTCCTTTGTTCCTCCTCTTCTATCCTGAAAGAGGTTAATATAACGTTCACCCACGGGCACCTTCATCCTCTCTCCCACCAACTACATCTTCGTAGCAGCAGTTGATATTCTGTCTATTTATATTTTAATTAATATCATGTAATTTATTCACCTGATGCGCGCCTTCTCCTCTAGATCTCTCTTATGTGCCTCGGTGAAGGGTCTGAACAGGGGGCAGTTAGTCTCCAGTAAGCTGCAGAACTTGTCCATAGCTTCCTCCTGTGTCATAGTACCTAGAGCCTGCCAGGCATGCCTGCTTGTGCAAAGCAAAACGTCATTAGTGAGGTCACCTCTACCACGCAAGGTTTCCTTCCATGTTAGTGCTTCCCAGATAGAGCTCAGGCATGAGAGTGGTCTTGGGGTAAAAACCTTAAAATTTTCCAAATTCTTCAGTGTCCAAGCAAAACTGAAGCACGAAGATGTGCCCCCTCTCGCCAGAAAATTGTGAAAATTTCAACTCTGGGAAATGCAATTTCCAGTGTCCTGGGAGCAATTTGTTAAAATTATCACCTACTAGTTCTATGTTAAATCTGATGTTTTATTCAGCCAGACCATGCAAATAAAATGTTATCCACACTGCATACCACTGATATAGGCTACTGTAAGCTGAGACTGAAGTGTTTCACTCAAACCCACTGGATAAAGCAACTGTCCTATGAACACACAAACTCAAAAATATCAAAATTTTTACACTTTATATACATGTCATCATTTCATGATCCTTTACTTTTTACACTGTAGAAGCTTTTCGCTTTTCAGCAAGCTCAGACAACTCATCTTACACCCTTATTTTCTCAACGGGTCTACACGAATTGGAAAAATGGTATTTTTTCAACCCAAAAATACCTGAAATCCGGATATTTCTGAAGGTCTCTCATGCCAGAGAGCTACATGGAGGATACTGATGGATGACACAGGTGCACACGAATGATGATGATGATGATGATGATGATGATGATGATGATGATGATGATGATGAGTGCTTCCCATGCTACGTTACAGTGTACTATCCGGCATAAATATTTACACTCCTTACGTTAATTTATTGGCATCTATGATCGGGTTTTGTTCCTCTAAATCAATCCCAATAGTACGGAACAAATGAAGTCAATTAAAAGTATCATTCGGTGATATTCCAGTTATTGCAGCCCCATAGACGGCTATTAGATTTTAACGTTCTTGTATCTTAAAGTGTATACCGCGAGTTTTTGGGCTCAGGAAAACGAAATATAGCAGAATATAGTCTCACCTGACAGTGGAAATATCACTGATTATACCAACATTCAAAACACCAAGATTTTATGCAGTTATAGCATAGAAAAATTGATTTGACCACATCATACCAGCGATACATTTTTCCGAGTGGTGACTCTCAAAAATTACAAAACATTTTGTTGGTGATCCGGATCCAATTAATTAATTAATTAATTAAATTTTTAGGATATGTCAGAAATGGGGTAACTTAGAATTGATTACATTTTGGTGGTGAATCAGATCCGGATCCAATCAATTAATTAATTAATAAATAAAATTTTGACAGAGAATTCAGCTGCCTTGGCGGAGGTCTGCACTCTCCAAGTGCTCTAGTTTCTCTATTTTGTTGAAGGGAAATTCAGTCGGCACAGAATCTTTTCTATTGACATTTTTACATTTATGTTCTGGTATAGTCACTATATACTAAGGCCGTGGCTACGCGACCGGTTCCAGGCGAGGAGCCGCTATAGGCTACCCCAGAAGGTGCCTTTCTAACAGATCTGAACAGAAAGAAAAACAGCATAAATGATGTATTTTTATATACCTGCAAAAATTGTGAAATATTACTATCTGGAGCATGTATGCCTATTGAAAAGATGAACTGTTAAAACCAATTATTATAATTAAATTGATGATTAGACTTCGATAAAATATCCCTTTGTCTTTACAGAGTCTTATGTCTGGCCGGTTACCGCAACTTTACCTACTGGGTACATAGGAGACTAGGGTGTCGTGTGTGGAGAGTAATACCTTCTTGTGTTGTTGCTGCTATAAGATCTGCTTTCCCAGAGTCAAATGGCCATTATGTAGGATACATGGAAGGGTCTGCTTCAGAAGTTGATGACACCTGGCTGCCATATTGAAAATAAACTCATGCGCAGAAGTTGATGAAATAACTTTTTTATGCAATTGTAATTGTATATAAACGTTTATAAGCAGCAGAGGCAGCACATTGTTTGCACACAATCAACGTTTAATCTAACTCTTCCATAACACTACTTCTACCATACAGTGTCCTGTGGCGCGCGATTAGGTCTGACTTTGGAGGGCAGGGATGCTTCACGATGTTTTTGGGTAGAGCTGGCACAGCTGCATGAAATGGCTCTTCTCCTATGTTTATAACGAAATACATGGTAGTCAGGTTAAAACAAATAGTAACACATATTATAGTACAGATGTAATTCTATGCTGATTTTAAATCACACTAATAACTTGTTTACTTATTCCTAATATATCGTACAGCGGCTACAGGCCCGTGGCATCTCCAGTACAGTAGACAGAATTTCTTGCCGGAAAGAATAGGTCTTCTTTGTGTACTTCGTCTTCAGAACCCACTACTTGCTGGCTTTTCGAAATTCTGCCTCGTGCACCTTGTTGCCATGGCTGTCCTCAGCCTGTGGTCTGCCACTGTTGTAGTTGTGATCTAGGGCTGTTAGTTGGGACCTCGCAAGCATACCTTTTGTAAGTAGTATTAATAACAATGTTAATCCATTTTTTAATTAATAAAAATATTAAGACCAGTATTAATAACATTCATAGTATCCACTTTCATAATTACCTTTGTAATGGCAGTACTGCCGCTTGGGGGCGTACTTGAGATGGAGACTGGTACACCTCAAAACTGACCGGTGTACCCAAACTGCGTTAGGTGTGTCATGTCATGAAGCAATCTCTTGTCCATGACGACAATAGTGAGCAGTTTATGTGCCATGGTGAATACGAAGGTTCTAAGACATATTATCGTTACTCTAGACAATTGCTGTTACTCAAGCAATAACGGTAGATATCATGAAAGTGGGGAAAACACTAGAAAATTCTCGCGGTACACACTTTAAGAGCAATACTATACATCTATATTTTTAATGAGAACATAATACGTTCATAATTTCAAACACTCACAATCTGCCGAGTGTAGCCTTTTTAATTTTGTTTATACACTTAGCCAATCAGAGTACATATGTGTAAAGTGTAAACCGTTTATTCAGGACATTTTAATGGTTCCAAACCCATCCCAGCAAATTGGGGACAACTGTATTTACAAATTTCATGACCATTATAATATTAAGAGACTCGTTCTTACAGTCTGTCACTTCCGATCACATCAAGGTAGCCGACAGAAGACGCGTTCGACGTGTCATATGGACCACACGTAACTTGCTTCATGTACGCTACCAATTTTAATTTATCTTGGTACGATAGATGCATGGCTTTTCCTTCTTTATCTGAAACAGAGCATGTGAGTACACGAACATTATATATATTTTTTACAATTTTAAAATAAAATCGCAAATCTTAATAGATATAATTGGTTAGTTAGTTATTACCACTCATGTTATTGACAGTAGAATTTATACTAGAATTAATATAGTTGCTAATTTTTATAACACAGACATGCTTCTAGTCATGTTATTGACAGTAGAATTTACACCAGAATTAATGAAGTCGCCATTGCCTATAATATAGACATTGTATGAACTATAGACTCAAAGTGTTTTACTGTTGATAAACTACTGTAACACGCCCCAGTCCTATCTTTGTACATGGCAGTTGGTGCATGAGCACCCTTACGACACCCATGTGCAATCTAGTTTACAAATTATAATTCCCTTTCCAACATTTTACATTTAAAATTTACTCTTTTTCTCAGATACAGATGCAAAACTGAAAGTGCAGTAACCCGTTGTATCAGGCTTTTTGGACAAAGCAAGTGGTTGTATTGGGGTAATGAAACAGATATGTTAGGGCACAACATCAAGTTGGATGATCATGAAGGCAAATGTTGCCTTTATAAGAGGGGACTGTGCCAATTGACTTTTTATCAGCAAATGTTATGTAACATAGGGAGGCATATAAACAGACATAAGTTTTATGGCAGGGATATGAAGGCAATGAAAGTAAGGCATCCACAGCACCGCACGCGCTAAGTAATGGTGTTGTGATAAAATGAGTCTACCAACTGAAAAGTAGCTCTTGCTTTTTCTACAAAAGAAAGAGCCAAATGCATGTAATTTAAATTATTACTAGTTTTACTGACTGAACAATATAAGATATATAATAAAGTGAACAAAACTCCATCCACATTTTTAGCTACGGTCTGGATTTTTATGATAATGCGCACTGCTGAATTATAGTATAACTTGTCTAACCCTGGATATACTTGTAGTGTCCAAGAAATTCTGCCTTAAGTATGGCTGAGAAGGTCTATGTCCCCTAGGGTACTGCCGGAACGTACCCTGGGTACGGTCCGGTATACCGGAACGTACCCTGGTACTATCTAATATGCCGGCTATAATGTGCCGGACCGTACCTCGCCTACTCCACTAACGAGTATAGGGAGTCGCCTACGCCTACTCCCTAACCATATCAAATAGTTACCAGGGTACGTTCCGGTACCCAGGGTACGTTCCGGCAGTACCCTGGGGGACATAGAACCTATATGAGCTTAAGTATGTGACCACATTCCCAGGGCTATGCTAGTATAGACCAATAAATTGTGCCCTAACATTTTTTGATATTCTGATGTTATTTTAGGGCCCAATAGCCTTCCATAGACAAAACCTGTGAATTCTGTCGTGCAAAATGCACGACAACCTTTTCACTATTTACGGCCGTGTTACATAGAAAATCAAAGAAATACCTAAAGCCGTCGCTTTATTAACATCTTACCTACATTACAAAACACTTGTCATGCAGTATTCTCCTCTTTAATCACGTTTATTTTATTAAAACATCACGACATAAAAATCACACAAACTTCACTACACACAAAACTGCCAATCTTGCATTGAATTCGAACCGCACCAGACAGCGTCACAGCGATGATTTCATTGGCCGGTGAGAAATGTCATTGTGCGGTTCAATGCAAGATTGGCAGTTTTGTGTGTAGCGAAGTTTGCGTGATTTTTATGTCGTGATGTTTTAATAAAATAAAAGTGATTAAAGAGAAGAATACTGCATGACAAGTGTTTTGTAATGTAGATAAGATGTTAATAAAGCGACGGCTTTAGGTATATTTTCTTTGATTTTCTATGTAACACGACCGTAAATAGTGAAAAGGTTGTCGTGCATTTTGCACGACAGAATTCACAGGTTTTGTCTATGGAAGGCTATTGGGCCCTAAAATAACATCAGAATATAAAATTTTGTAGGGCACAATTTATTGGTCTATGCTGGTAGTGCCAATCTCATCACACCTCTAACCCAGTGCCTAGTTATTTAAATTAACATACACATCTTCTTAACGAAATTCGTGGCTCAAGGATAGAGAGCATGTCCAGTAATAAACATAATTCTATCCTATCACCGTCCTGGACATCATCTCTATCCTTGAACTAAATTGGTGATACACGTGACATGTCACATGCATAAAATCTCTAAACTATCACAAATGCAACAGTATATCCTCATCCTGGACGTTATTCCTCACGCACTGTCCAGCATAAAAGTAGAAGTAGCAGTATAGACTAACTTGCTAGTCTATAGGTCGCACGACAGAGTACATATACTATAGAGAGAGTTAACACTGATCTACAGACTAGAGCTAAGAGTACACTGTACAGTACGTACACTACTGGTACTGAGTACTGGTTACTGCCTACGGTGCAAATCCACTTTAGGCACCTTAGGTATCACGAAGTGATGCACAGATTTCTGTGTATCATCAACTGATGCACAGAATTTCCGTATATCAAGGAATGATGCAAAAACCCTAACCCTAACCGTAAGCCCAACCCTAACCCTAACACACTTCGTGATACCTAAGGAGTAAGATTATACTTTATGACTTAGGGTTAGGGTTAGGGTTAGGGTTTTTGCATCATTCCTTGATGTACGCAAAGTCTGTGCATCAGTTGATGATACACAGAAATCTGTGCATCACTTCGTGATACATAAGGTGCCTAAAGTGGATTTGCGCCACTGCCTACCGGTATACACACCTTTGTAAAATGAAACGGCCAACTTATACAGATCAGACAAGTTAAACCCCCATGACATTTCGTGCGAACTTTGTACGGAGTTCTGTGTCCCATCTGTTTCCAAGCGAGTTTTGGTTTCATCCTCGCTAGTACTCATAGATAAATTCGTCATTTTGTCTTCCAACATTGAAGTAGAACTCTCCGTGTTGTGATTGTGCGCCATGTCTTGCCACGTCTGCAGCCGGGGATACAGGAGGTGCAAAACCAGCCGCCTCGCAAAAATATAATCCGCTTGACGCGATCGATAAATTTTCATACTCAAAATGATACCACACGTCGTTCTGTCCTGTTTCACATGTCACGAACATCAAATATTTTAACATAAATCACGTAGCTGCCTCTACAGTGCGGTATTCAATTCATTTGTGCCGCGTGCGCCTAAACCCACTAAAATTGGATGGTAGGCCCTACATTATATTACCGAGATAAGAAAGGTGTGGGTAAAGGACGTGAAGGAGAGGGAGAAAAAAGGGGAGGAAAAAGAAGACGAGGATGCAAGGCCGCGATGATAGAGATACAGAACGTGGAAAAGCACGCAGAAGTAATGCGTGGATTTATTGTTTGGGATCCGTTCCTGGTCAAAAACATTGATAAGTTGGAAAAAGTTCAGAGAAGGGCAGCCAGGTTCGTATGTAGAGACTACCGGCGTGACAGTAGCGTTACTGAAATGCTAGGAACTCTAAATTGGCCTTCTCTTGCTCAGCGGCGGAGCGATCAGCGCATAGCATTCATGAAGAAGATAATGTCTTCTTCAGTGGCGGTACCAGCAGATCAGTATACCAAACCTGGACCCCAGCGAACACGCAGTAAGAACAGTCAGAAACTTCAAACAGTGCGAGTCAACACCAAAGAGCTTCGCCATTCCTTCTTCCCGAGAACTATTCAACAGTGGAACCAGCGTACTGAGGCCGAGATAGACCTTATCTGTTCCACTGCCGCTGACGACAACATCTAAGCGCACACTTCCCTGCGTTATTATCCACGTAACCGTGGGCTACGCAGTAAACTATCCAGATCCAGATCCAGATTAGCTGGATGAAGATGAGGATATATATATAAGTCGGCTAGCGCAGGATGTGGAGAGGGAGACGCAGAGAGTAAATACGATTTCGGTATTGGCTGTAATGTGTCCAATTATCTTATATTATTCTCTATTATTATCTTATTATATTCCATATAAACTATTTGTGCGCACAGCCCCACCATCTGCATGCCAGGGAGTCATTGTTACTTCGAAATTATGGAAAGGACATATTCCCAAGTAGACTGATTGGGAAAGTATCTATTGCAGAGACTCACAGTAAAGAGCCCAGTCTTATCCTTGCGTTATGGCATGATGTCTCATAGAGTCTTTGTTTGATTGTGTACATGACTTAATTCGTGCGTGTGAGAGCGTGAGGTATTATTTTATTCACTTATTACTAAGAGAAGATTTGACGATGAAATCGGTGAGACGTTGTCTGTTCATGAATGATGTAGGTATTGTGTACCACTCGTCTTTCCTTTCTCCGGCGAGGGTGTTGGGGAATGGTGTCTTTCGACTCACAGACTGGGGTTCAGCATGCAATATACGAGCCGACGGGCTCGGATGGGGGCGGCAACTACATCGGCGGTAGGGTGGTTTATGTTATGTGGTATAATTACACCAACACAGCACAGACACAAGTCAACGAACAGAGAGAGAACCTCTACCTCCCGGCTGTGCCGGCGTTTATTAACGTGTTATCGTGATCCACTTGTACAGCAATGGCTAATACCAGCGTGACAAATACAATCGGCTCTAGTAACTGTTCACAGTCCACACTTACAGAGGATACTCACTATACAGAGCATTTGTATTACGAATATAATCACCCAAACAAGATTCCCGTGTAGGGATCATACATGTATAAAGTTCTACATTTTTACTATGGCCACAATCATTCCATTCTTGGAGGGTATTAATACACTTGTTTAGTACGTATTACGTGGTTATGCATGAAGCGATTATAAGTTATAGTTGATCACCATGCTACTGAGAGAAGTCTCTGCTCGACCTCAGAAAAGCCCCTCAGAAGCCCGTCTGGCTAATAACATAGCAGAGAAACTAGTGCGTGTTAAGGTAACGCCAATGGTAGCAGTGTTTCATCAACTGACACTAACAACAAACACGACATTAATACGAGACGTGCCGTAACCAGATTTAAATGTAAATTAGGTGTCACTTTATCAGTGTCATATCATTATATTATCAAAATATCTCGCTGTTGTCACCGTCGTCACCAAAATCGTCGTCATCACCGTCATCACCGTCGTCACCATCTTCATTACCATCATCATTATTGTCACCCACATCACCATCATCATCGTCGTCATGACCGTCATCACCGTCGTCACCATCTTCATTACCATCATCATTATTGTCACCCACATCACCATCATCATCGTCGTCGTCACCGTCATCACCGTCGTCACCATCTTCATTACCATCATCATTATTGTCACCCACATCACCATCATCATCGTCGTCGTCGCCGTAGTCACCATCTTGATCACTTTGGGTGACAGTGGCTAGGGAGTACACTTGCGACAAATGACGTAACATGAGGACGAGCATTTAACTGCGTTCAATAGATGTCGCTTCCTTCTCCTACGTTCGCGGGTTACTTCACATGATTGGCGTGAAATACGGTGCTGGAGGCTGAATGCGGTATGGCACGCACGAGACTCTAGTATACAGGTCGACATATCGGGCTCTACTGGTTTACACCGCTTCACTTTCACTCCAATCTCATTGTCGTCGTCGTAGTCAGCTGCGCATCTTGATCACTATGTGAGACAGTGGCTACACTTGCGACAAGTAAAATAACATAATGACGAGCATTTAACTGCGTTCAATAGATGTCGCTTCCTTCTCCTGCGGGTTATACCTCCACAGCCGCATTGGCATGAAATACGGTGCTGGAGGCTGAACGCAGTATCGCACGCACGATCTATTATAGAGGGCGACATACCGGGTTTACACCGCTTCACTCTCACTCCAATCTCGTTGTCGTCTGACGTCGCAGCCGTGGTCACTGCGACAAGTACAAGTGTCGCCACCTGTGTATCGCGGTAACAGAATACAAATTCAGTACATTCATCAGCATCGCAAGTTTATCGATTACATTCACTTAATCAACTCGCAGAGGCTGAACCAGAGTTGAATGTATGTAAGTGGACTGAAACTAACTCTCACTGAATCACTCTCTGACGAAGCAACCGTAATTTCGTGCACTGCTCGCTGTGCAGAAGGCAGAAAGGTTCGATATGATATGACTACTAGGCACTTTAATTTAATTTAATTTTTTTTTTTTTTAGGGTTAGGGTTAGGGTTAGGGTTAGGGTTGTTTTTTTTAAGTGCCTAGTAGTCATATCCTAAGTGCCTAGTAGTCATATCCTAAGTGCCTAGTAGTCATATCATATCGCACCTATCTGCCGGGTGCGCTCGCTGTGCGTGTGGAGAATGTTACCAACGTAACCCGATGACAGGGAAAAGTGAGCGGTAAACGTTAATCCATATATCACAACCGAGTTTTTCGTAAGAGTGAGTTTATAGGTTTTCTATGGGAGAGGGGAATTTGTGTGACTGTAGTGTTCACTCTGTCATGTTAACGTTTATTCCTTTACTTGTACGTTTTCTTGTACGTTTTCTTGTACGTTTTCTCAGCATTGATAGTCATCAATAATTTACTCCTAACAGATATTCAATGCAAACAATCCGTTTGTGAAGTAATTATACAATAATTGCGTTTTTCAAAGTGAAGAAAATTATGATCAGAATTCTTTCGATTGCGGTCGGGTTTCCAGAACAGCAGCATGTTCACAGAACGCCTCCGCTCCACCTTCACTGTATTCCGCCCTCTATCGTTACTAGATATGTAACACTAATTGTAACGTTTTTGAACCAAGTGTCTACAGTGGCTTTCAAAATGAATTTGTCAGTCTGAGTAGAATATAAATTCCTACCAGAAACGCAGTTCCAAACTTCGTACACGCCGTCATTTCTGTAGAATGCAGTTTCTCTCTCTCTCCTCGCTATGATTGAAGCTATGATTGACGTTGAAACTCGAGTTTCTGCCTGCATGTAGACCAAGATGTAATTTATACATTGTGAGTTAGGTAACGTGTAGGCTTGTTACCTACAGTTACTACGCTATTGGCTAGAACCAGGTAAATACAGAACTGTGAAGAGTAGCTAAGAAATCACCGACTTCTCGATCGCGCTGCCATGTAAACTTGTTAGCCATTATCCATATGACTATGTTCTACTATTATAGCTTATCTACCTTGCGCCTCGTCTAGCTTTCTCGTTTTATGTAGCCGCGTAGACACCAATAGTGGAGGCAGCGTTCTTGAGAATGGCGAGTGTGTCAGGTTAGCTGGCTATTTATGTATACACGTAAAACATTATGGTCAATCTTTTACGGGTCACCTGTCGCCAGAAGACCGGTCACGGAAGTCGAGATGTCATTAATTAGCTGGTCTAAAATAGGTTACTACGTATAGGACGGGTTTCCTTATAGCTTACATGTTAGAGCAAGAATAACAAACTTGTAGCACACGTAGCAATGGGGTCACCGAACCAACAACTTGGTGACAATTGGAGTCAGATTGCTATGTGTAGATCACTGGGTTGGTGGGTGGGGTGGGGGTGGTGAATGGATAGGTAAACAGGCGGACAAGCGTACGGACGAAGGGATGGTTAATAACTGATAAACTATAACTGAAAAATGGGAAATTGCCAACACTAAACGTATCCTGTTATTAATTTCTTGTAACTTCTTCGCACTGACAGTGACAGCGAATAAAAACATCCGAAACAGATTTGAATTTTATCATTATTTTATTAGAAAAAGTATCCGTTCTTTGTACACAAGTACACACAC